AGTTTTCTTTCTTTGACATCAATTATCTTATGTTCTCCATCATATCTTCTAGGTTTTTGTATAGCATAAAAATGATGATTTATCATAATATTTTGACATCATTCTAATAGAATATTGTATAAATGAAAATAATCCATATACATTGATTTATTATAAAATAGTAAATTTGACTTGTGAAGCTAAGCACTATAGTAGCAAAAATTTATTTATATAAAAAATTATGAAAAACAATGTATCAATACGGCACGAAAAAGCATAAGAAATAAAGCCAAACAAGAAAACAAATAACAATAAAACCGAAGATAGATTGCATTAAACGTACAATGAATAGAACTATGTAATACTCGAAATACAAAGAAAATCCATGCAGCAACAACATATGTGGTATCCACTTGTTTCGTTATATATAAGTATATTGCAAGTGCATAAAACAATACAGGTACTTCAAATAAATTTTTTAGATTATCTGATGGATTTGATACAGCAGGAGGTGATATTCGTGCTAGTTCACCAGGACGTATAAGTTGTTCTGGTCGAAGATTCATTGAACTAATAAAATGAATACGTCGAATGTACATATATACCCAAACAACAATTGTTAATAACATTGTAGCAAAAAATGGTCCAAAAATTCGAAGTTGTTGATTTTCTTGAATATTATATTGTACCATCTTTAACAACAATCGTTCAATTATATAAAATACGTAGAAGAAAAATCTAAGACGGAAACAAATAAACGATGAATGTTTATAGAATAAGATTAGAAAATACGAAAGAATAGAACGCCATAGCCAATAAAATCAAGGATAGGTGGCGTTCAAAATCATGTATACCTATGTACGATTTACTATTTAACTAGAATTCAAACTCTGTTATTTGTACATGTTTTATTAATCTTTATTGATAGAAAAGAAATAATCGATTCATGCTATATGCACTATTCGATTGGAAGACTTATCATACTGATGGATACAATTTTAAATGCAAAAATATTTGATTTTTATAATCAAATAAAAACTAAAAACTTATCTACTCGCACACTAAAAAATCACCATAAATTACAATATTTTAATGAGCATGAAAATATGTACATTGAAAACACAAAAAAAGAAACTAAGATTTTAGCAAATAATGAGATCATTAAGAAAGACATACACACACATTTAGCTAGAAAAAGCTCCGATGTGCTGAGTTGAAAAAACAACAAAAAAAATTAAACAGAATAAAATTAAAGCTCATTGATTTTGATTCATTTGATATGTTTAATAAATCGAGAAATACGTCGTTGATTTGCAAGTAATTGTTCTGATTTATTTGATGATGTTATATTTCCATTTCGACGTTGTCTTTGTTGTTGTTGTTGTTGTTGTTGTTGAATAGGTGGAAGCGCTTTATAACGATGTGGAATATTTTTCGATGAAGATATTGGTCTAGCCGTTGAATCAGCAACATCATTGGGAATACTATTATCACGTACTATTGGTTCCGATTGAATACCAGAAGGAATTTTATTATGATGATAATTTTGAGAATATGAAAGAGGTTCAGATACACGTTTTTCAAGTTCTTCAAAAGCGACTGGTGGTGAATGAAGTGATCGAGATACTGTTCCATTGAGAACACCTATTGAAAAGAAAAAAAGTATTTTAGAACACGACGAAAAAGATATATTTTATATATTCTAAACTATTTTTCTTCATTGCAAGTAATTGTTGACGTGCATCAATAAGTGCATCTTTTAATTGTTCACGTTCTGTACATTCTTTATGAACTGTTTCTTGTAAAGTTATCATCTAAATAGAAAAATAATCAAAATAATCTATGCAGAAAAATTATTTTTTTTATCATATGTTTTCTTTAATTTTCTAGCGTTTTTTAGAATTACTGAAAAAGAAAACAACTAGAATGAAAATCTTTATTCATTTTCGTAATATATGTTCAGAATTTTTTAGTCAGGTTACGTGCGAATTTCTTCAGCTACCTTCTTCGAATTTCAATGATTTTTTTTTGCTACATAATGTTCTAATAAAAACTCTAGAAGGATTTGAGTTTCTATTAATATTTAACTAAACTATCGAATTTTTTTCTAGAGGCTTCAAGTTTTTGGAAAACTTGGAGCCTCTAGAAAAACATTCGATAGCTTAGTCCAATATCAGTATCATTGAAATCGGAAGGGAGTAGCTTAAAGAGGTTCTCTTGTTAATTTTGTATTTTTTTTAAAACTCTTCAATTTAAATTTGTGAGAAAAATCTTTTTATAGATCAAGCTTCAAAACGAAATTTTCTTTACAAAATATCCAATTTGTTCCTCTTTTTACACTTTGTTCGACAGGATCGAAATCTATTACATTTTAAGTATCGGAATTTGAAAAATGATAATAAATTTTGATTCTATAAAATTTTTACTTACGAGAGAATATTCACAGTTGTTGGATGCTGATCGAGCTCATAAATTTGTTCATTAACAGATATCAGGACTACTAGAATATTTTTTTTTAAACTTCAATTCAAACAAATGTATTTTACATGAGATAAGAAGTATGCAAAAAATAGCAATATCTTATAGGTAAAGCAGTAGCATAGAATAATCATTGACATTAAATCTCACAAGAAAAATATATTCATTTGAGATGAAAGTTTTAGAATATTCTAGTGATTATGAGAACTGTTTATAAACAAAATTTCTACTAACCTTACTGAATCATAATTATAAGTCAAATATGAATTTAGTCGGTGTCGGATCATGTTGAATGTTCTCTCGTTAGTACAGTCCATAATCTTATGAGAAATTAAATTCACGAGAATATTATACATTCAAAATTATCTCATAATAGAATTTAGAGAAATTATCAATAAAGAGAAAAGATCTACTTTATTTGATACAAACAACATATTTGATTTATTTGGGTGTATAGTCAAAGTTAGCCAGCCTTAAGTCATAGAAAACTTATGATTTTAATTAATGACTATTGATTAATTCTAATAACTTATAAATAGTCGAAAATTGTCGAAACAGCTTGTATAAAGAACTTTTTAAACAAAAAATTATTTCTAGTAGAATAAGAAATAAAGATACTTCTTCTCGTGTTTGTTCTAAACATGTTTGTAATTCATTGATAGTTGATTGTGCTTGAAATAAACTTGTTTCTTTCGATACTAAATCTTCTTTTAATTTTAAATTATTCATTCGATCATTATTCATTGATTCTTGCTTATCTAAAAGACAAAAATAATTTGAATCTATGTTTAAAAAAAAATTTTGTACTTACTCATTTGTTCATGTAATTCTTTAAGAACATCTCTTAATGTATTTAATTCTTTTTTTAAATTAATTTTATCTTTTTCAAGTTGTTCAATTTGTTTTGTATAATATTGTCGTTGTTCAATTGTTACTTTTTCTGTTGAAAGTAATTCATGACGAAGTTGTTCTGTTGAATAACCAGAATCATGTTCATATTTACGTAAAAGACCAGTATGTTTTTGTTTTTCAATATTTAATTCCTAAAATATATAAATATTATTTGTAAATGAATTAAATAATCTATACAGTTAAAAAATTTTCTTTTAGACGTTGTTCAAGTTCATGAATTTGTATTTGATATTGTTCACGTTCACGTTTTAATTCAGTTTGAAGACGATCAGGCCATTGTTCAGCTTCACGCAATTTAATTGAATATGTATCATGAAGTTTTTTTATTTGTATATCATGTGTAATAATAAATGTTTCTCGTTGTTTTGTTAATTCAATATTTTCATTATGTATACGTTCAAGTTCAGAACGTATAATTTTTAATTCTACTGTATTAAAAAAAAAAAAGAAAGAAAGAAAGAAGATTATTTTCATGAATAAATTTTATTTTTTACAAGTATCTTTTTCTCGTAAATTAATAAGTTCATGATAAACTTCATCAAGATCAGTATATTTTCTTAATAATTTTTCATATTCATCACGTGTACGATCAAGAACAGCTTGACGTGATCGATTCATTTCATCGATTTTTCGTCGAGTATTTGTTTCATTTGTTTCAAATTCTTGTTTCATTATATTTAATTGTTCATAATCATTAGTTAATTGAAAAAATTTTGATCGAATATTTTCTAATTCATTATCAGCTTCTAAAAACAAATAGATAAATTTAGACAAATAAAGACTATTGTTTTTTACTTAATCGAAGTTCTTTTTCATTTGTAAATTGTTGTCGATATTGATCAATGATTAAATCACTATTTTTTTGTGATTGATCGTTATCCAATAGTTGTCTTTCTAATTGTTGAGAATTTTGTTTTGTTTGTTCTAAATCATTTTGTAATTTTATTTTCGTTTGTTCAAATTGTGATAATTGTTCATGTAAATGAGATAGCTCATTTTTTTGAATTTCAATTTCTTTTCGAGCTGCTTCTAAATCATTTTGTGTTCTAGATTTAGAAAAAACAAAAAGATACGTGATTAAAAATAATGAAGAAGAAAAAGAAGAATATGTTTACATAGCATGAGATTTATTTGATTCAAGTTGAGATTGGTGATATTTGACTTGAAGATCTCGAAAAGATTGATGTGTTTCGCTAGAAATGAAGTAAATGATGTAATACATTAGATAGTTTCTTGAAGGAATATTCTCAGATGTCTATTTGCTTTTCAGCCGAAGCTTTGTTTCATCTTGTAGGCCTTAGTGATCGGTATCTACTATAAAAAGCTTTCACGGTTAAAATCCATTTCTGAGAAGATCGAAGGTTTTTAGTGAATTTTCGCTACATGACCCCACATTTGTGGCAAGATCATATTTTCAAATTTCAACCTGAAATTTCACCTACATGAAGGCCTTAATTAGACCAACTTGCATAAAGAATTTTAGAATTTGCCAGCTAAGCGTCTCTCAGATATGAAGCTTTCAAAAATACATGATGTTTATACTATCTATGTTAGAGGGTCTAGACTTTGAAAGTTTCGTACCTCGAAGAGATTTATTTCAATAAGCCTGAAATTTTTTATGCAAGCTAGTCGAATTGAGATCTTTATATGGACAAAACTTGAGATTGAAACTCCAAAAATATGTTCTTGCTACAAATGTGAGGTCCTACAGCGGAAATTTATTAAAAACGTTCGATCTTCTCAGAAACAGACTAGAAGCATGAACTTTTTTGATGATAGACATAGTTCACTAAGGTCTACAAGATAAAACAAAGTTCCAACTGAAAAACGAACTGACATCTAGGAATGTTCTCTTGTTAGTTTCGACAAAATCGAGATTGAAACTTGTGTTTTCATATCTATTTGAAGTATAATCCGTCGAGTTGATCCCAAGACTCTAATCTGATACTTAGAGAAAATCCTCTTTTTTCATACTTAAGTTGTTGTTGATATTGTTCAATTTCTGTTTGATAATTATTAATTTGTTTTGTGTATTTATCCATTATTAATCGAATTTCTATGTAATAGATAATTTCAAAATAGAAATTTAAATAAATAAAATTTATTACCTTTTTGTAATGTGTTTTCAACAGTTTGTAAATAAATTTTCCAATTTTGAATATCATTTGAATAGAAATCTTGTAAAATAAAATATTCTTTACGAATATTTTGTATTTGACTATGTGTAAGTCGTAATTTTGATGAATATTTTGAAAAAGAATTTCTTTAAAAATAAAAAATAAAATAAATATGTTATTTCAATAAAAATAATTTATATATATATATCTACTTCGTTTCTTGATGAGTATTTATTGATTGTTCTAATTGATCTTTTACTAACTGAAGTTTTCTTGTCATTTCATTGAGTCTATGAAAATAAAAACTATTTTCTGTAATCTAATAGTAATTTATTAATCTACTTATGAGTATTAATCGCAAGATTTGATTCAAGATCAGATATACGTGCTCGTTCATTTTGTAATGTTTGTTCTAAAGCACTTTCACGTGAACTTATACCAGTATAATAAACTAAATCAGCTTCAAGTTTTTGACATTTTGCTTCAAGTGCTTTGATTTCATTATGAATTAAATAAGAAATACCACAAAATTGACAGACTGTATCTTGTCGAGACATATTTGTTATATCAACAGGTAAAGGATATTGTGGTGTATAACGCTCAAAATGGTCTTGTTTTTGCATGTCTACAATTACGAAAAAGAAAATATCAATTTATAATATTTATGATCATAAAATTGATCGATTTATTCTTTCTTATTTTTCTTCTCTTTTAAAAAACAACAACAAGAACAATGTCAAATTAATTACGATATAAAATACATAAAGAAATATAATTATGACCAGTATGATGCCGATTGTGGACGTTCGATATCTCGGTTTGTTAGTGGACATTGTGATAGAGTTTTCCGCATTGTATCACCTTGACCTTTTCGTAAATTTTCAATACCCTCATGTTTAACTTTTGGCGGAGCTCGAGCTGATTGTTGTAATTTACCATATTGATGAAAAATATTATTAACGTGATAACCTTGACCCATATCATAATTTAAATGAGCTTGATCACCTTTAACATGTGGTTCTGGTGTTGATATAGGACGTTTAATACCATGTTGAAGCATTTGAGAATCACCAAGACCTTTTTGAAGATTCATTTCAGCATCAAAACCTTTTACATGAGGTATTGGTCTTGGTGTAGCTGAAGTACGACCATAACTATTTAATATTGGACCTATTTGACCTTCTTGATGTGTATAAAATAGATTTGTTGCTAGCTATTTAAAAAAAACATAATGTTGATTCCAAAAATTACGCTTATTTCTAATAAAAACTAATCTTTGATAATCAAAATCTAGAAATACTAACTATTTTTCTAGTATTTTACATATTAATGACGTTGTTCTAAAAATAACGATTACTAACACTGAAAAATTCAAGGTTTGAGTCTAAAGTTTTGATATCACAACACTACCCACAATATAAAACATAATGAAACAAAAAACATGACTGCCTTCTCTCTTCAGAAGTTCGAACCATAGTTATAAGTACCTTCATTTTTTGTGATTATCCTCATAGATTATATGAAACTACATTGACGTTAAAAACTTCACAGTTTAACAGTAAGTCCTTATGAAGTTAGAGGTTAATCAATCTTTCTGATTATACTAAAAGATGATTGTGTAACTGAGTACATTTTTATGATAGGTAGTAAAGTACTGCAACCCGCGGGTCGAGTACATGTATTCGGTACGGACAATACAAGTAATGATTGGTGGAGACACAAATTTCATTTTTAACATTGTAATTCACAAAAAATTTGAAAATATGTGGTTTTAATGTTGCTGTTTCAGAGTAATATCCTTGATCACATACTTGATGGGTAGTTCTGTTAAACTATCAACCATGTGTCACATTAATGCAATCTACGAGTTGGGTACCCTTTCAGTAGTCTAATAGGTAGTACTCGTTAATAAAATAATTGTTTATGACAATTTTATTTTTATCTTCTTGAGAATCTACAATTGTATAGGTAGTAGAAAGTGATTCTTTTTCTAAAATATTGATTTTTTTTGCTAAGAATAAAAATGTCCAAGTTTTGGATGTAGTGATCTCATATCTTTAGAACACTCACAACAACAACAAAAAATTGTTAAAAGAAAAGCGGGTAGGGGAGTGAAATAAGCGTTAATTTCTCTGATAAATTTTACCTCGCCTTGTGTATTGGGTACAGGCGGTATTGGTAAAGATAATTTTCCATAATTTTCTAATAATGCTTTCATTTCTGTATTATGATTTCTTTCATAATTAGCACGACCTTCTTTTTTTACACGCAAACCATACTGAGAATCAGATGGTTGAAAATTTCCGTCAATAAGATTTGGTGTTGAAGAACGACTTTTTGTATAATTTCGTAAAGCATCAGGTCCTAAAACTTTTGGTTGTGATAAATTTAATTCTTGATTTATTGGTAATGTTGTTGTTGTTGACATTGTTCGACCTTCAATAGCCCAATCACCAATATTTAAACTTCCACGATTTTTAATATAATTTTTTACACCTTCATGATTAACACGATATGGTGGAGTTTCTTCAAAATTTGGTAGTATTGATGAAAATGTTGTTGAATGTGATGGAGGAATCCAATCACCAGATTCAGAAGAGAATATTTTAGTCATGATTTAAAAGAAATAAAACAAAACAAAAATCTATTAAGTAAGTATTTCTTGTTCTTTTAATAAAATATACTAGACATCTTGCAAATGTCAGTTGCTAAGCAATGTCCAATATGATTGAATAATTGAGAATTTTTTCTTTTTTTTTCTATTTGTGAAATTTTTTGTTATTATAAAATATTTGAATTGTATTTGAATAATAATTATTACGACATCTAAAGGAGAATTTTTAATTCTCAATAAAAATTAGATTCTACTGTTCGTTATCC